TGATCCATGCAACAAAAAAAAGTGGTCTGATGCTTAGTCTGTATTTATTTATTCTTTCGCCAAATCTTCTGTTACTACAGAATAGACCATCTGCTTCATGTTTACACTGACACGCGCATGCCCAGTGCACCTGAACGGGTCCTATCTCTGCGTCGTTTTAATGTAGACGGAGGTCAATTCCAAAACGCAGCGGGAACGCTGCTGTGGATGGAGATCGTATTCGTTTTAATTCTCTGTTTGTAAACTAAAACGGAGTAGTGTGGATGGGGCCAAAAAGTGACTGACAGGCACGCCAGCTCTAATGAAAAGTTGAACATGTTGAACAACAAAAGGCACCCATACAGCTAACAATAAATGGCCAGTGAGCCAAACCCAAAACCTTTATCTTCTCCCAGTTTTCTTCTGTCTCACCGCTATAGCTGCAGACGACATCTCTCTGTCTCTGTCACAGAGCGACCGGAGCAGCGGTTATTTAATCACACATGACGACATCCCGATTGCAATTAGATTAATCGTGAAGCCCTAATTTTAATGTGGAAAAGTTACATATTATATCTTTGTAATCCAACAAAGCTCCATTTAAAATTTCTAAACATCGCCATTATTTATCTAATTCATTTATAAATATTCTGTCCTGGTCTAGTCATTTTTGAGTTCTCTTATTGTGCCTGATTAGTCTCAAAGAGTACTGTAGAAGGACTTGTGAGTACGAATTATATGTATGCGTATACACACAGTCTGCCCCACAGTTCTGAGGCAGGATCACACTTTTCTGTACAGGGGTCTCAGGCCTCAGATGCGTTGCTGATTATATAGTTACACAGTGGGTTTTTTTTGTGTGTGTGAAAATGCCTTTGTAACAAAATTATTGAAAGTTACTTCATTAGTCCAACTTTCTGTACGTAAGTCTCCCTGCCTGTTTGTGAGTAGAATGAATCACATTTCAATTTGATCCGAATCCTGTCCCTATGTATTGTGTAGTATCATCCCTTTTCTAAATGCTTCTCCTCAAAAACACAGTCTTTATTTTTTTCTGCCCAGCAGCTTTGTTGTAATAACTGTTATAAATGTGTCAGGTGCTGATTCTCGTCCCGTTCCGAGGCGGAGCTCTGCAAGTCGTCCAGACGTTCATCGGCCTGCTGGAGACAACAGGCAAGAAGATAGTGGTCAACAACAAGAAGAGGTTCAAGGAAGAGTTTGGAGAGGAGGCAGATGACAAGCCGCCCAATCTGCAGAGACCAGATGATTACAGCGCCATCTTCTCGGGGAATGTGGATGATCACTTCAGGATAGGTATCGTTTAACAAACACAAGTCAACCCACTTTTGGATAACCTAAGTTTTTCTGTCTTGATGCCTTGTTGCCGTCCTCTCTCCTCACCAGGCATCTCTATTGTGAGGAGCAGCATGCGTCTGTACTCCCCCTTTTATTCATCAGACATCATCATTGCGTCTCCGCTGGGCCTCCGCACAGTGCTGGGAGCAGAAGGAGAAAGTAAGAGAGACTTTGACTTCCTCTCCTCCATCGAGCTGCTGGTGGTCGACCAGGCAGATGTCTTCCTCATGCAGAACTGGGAACACGTCTTGGTAAGAACACACTCCTGTACAACACATTGTCCCGTGATGGTATCTGTTCATCGGTGTTGTGTCTACTGTTGGGAAGGATGTGGCACCATCTGCTGTTTAATAGCCACTGTAGACATTGTAAAATCACAACATGGAAAGATTAGCTTTTGGGTAAGCACTTGCACACTGCTGGAACCTTAGCAGAACATAAGAATACTGTAAGAATAAGGCAGAACAAGGTTTGTTAGTTTTTCTGAATCGTGATGCTATTTTTGGACTGGTTAAAAGAGTCACACTTTCTAACAACAAAATCTTCATCAAAACTTGGTATGGTAAAGTGTTTCTATGTTGATGACCTACGTAAAATCACATTGACCCTCCCCCCTCTCTATAGCATGTCATGAAACACGTGAACCTGCAGCCGCTGGACTCCCATGGAGTGGACTTCTCCAGGGTGAGGATGTGGAACCTCAACAACTGGGCCACGCACTACCGGCAGACGCTGGTGTTCAGCTCCATCCAGGACCCACAGATCAACAACATCCTCACCAAGCACTGTGCAAACTACCGCGGACAGGTACTGCACTTTATACACTTTACAGTTACATAACACCTTCTCCAGGGTCGGCAATTTAGTTGAATACATTACTAAGAGGCAGAAATGATCTCACAGATTGCGTAAATCCTCAGTGGTTAGAGCACTAGCCACTCTAAGTTGTTAACTGTAGCTATCCTGCTGACTTTTTAAGATCAAGAGTGAAAACAACAAATTCATTGCCATCACATTTTCATTTGTATCTTAAACAAAGTTTCTTCATTACCATTTGATGATGTGGGTTTTTAAAGTTAATGTGTGTGGTTTTTGTTCCAGATTGCCACTAAGAACCTGCCAAAAATAGCTTCCATCTGCCAGGTGTTGGTTCAGCTGCCTCATGTGTTTCAGATGTTCTCCTCTAGCAGCTTCATGGACCACGATGCTCGGTAAGTTGATGCCAATCACGGATCCATCGGCCCACACTCCACTTCTTCAATAAGATAAAACCAGGGATTTTCAAATGCTTTGGATTAAATATCATGTTGCCATTGATTCTGTGAGTTACACTGTAGGTTACAACTTGAACCTTTTTTTCAGCCAATATTTGTTTACACTGTGGCAAATTGGCACCATTAAAAGTGTGGTGATTAGCTATTAGCAGTTCCTGTTTGCAGTGTACCCATGTATGTACAGAGAGCTTTCTCTGGATTACTTTGATACTGAAGAAAATTTAAAAACATGCTAATTCTCTTGCAGGTTCTGGAGTTACAATGAGCTTCTTTATTTCTGATTTCTAAGTGGATTTATGAACGTTGCGGTCCGAACCTCCCCTTGTTGATCAGACATTACTTTTTCTGATCAACAATAATGTTTGACTCCTTAATTTGAGATTACACACTTACATTCTACTTACATTTCCCTGTCTCATGAAAACACATACCCTTATACAGTCATCCTGTTTTCATTCTATACATTTAAATCTCTCACAGCATTTCAGTTGGTTATATGGTTCCTTTTTAGCTCTTATACAAACCATTTGTCCCTATCATCAAAGTTGTTTCCTTTCTTTTGAGGTGTTTCTTTTGAGGTGTTTCTTTTAAGGGCCTTTATGTTATTGGCATATTGGTTATGTGAGTTTCATTATTTAAATGTAATTCTAAATAAAATATGGGTCATAATACAGTGTACGCAACAGTTCAAGAGATCTTGACTAATGCTTGGTTGATCCCAGCTAAAATTAAAGCTGTTATATTTTTGCTCTTCCCCATCCTGCCTGTAGGTTCCACTTCTTTGTAGATAAAGTGCTGCCTCAATACAGGGACTCGGTTATGTCCCACACTCTGATCTACATCCCGTCTTACTTCGACTACATCCGGTTACGCAACTACATGAAGAAAGAGGAGATCAACTTTGCCAGCATCTGCGAGTATTCCAGCAAGTCAGAGGTGTCCCGAGCCAGGCACTTCTTCCTCAAAGGGGATAAACAGTTCCTGCTCTTCACTGAACGCTTCCACTTCTACAAGAGGTCAGTTCTTTGACATGCTCGTTCAGGTAGCCCCACACGTGCTGGGTTCTCTGATTTGTGGTGGATTTTGTCATTTTACCCAGCGGTTGGAGTACAGGATTAGTCAACTAGCAAAGATAGCAGATAGCAGTAGGGTTTTCTTTCTGAAAGACTCTGGTTGCTCAGTGGATCAAACCTCACCTCACCAACCACAACCATGAATAAAATCCCTGAATATGATGAGCATTAGGGGAATATTAATTCCTGGAATCACTCCCAACATCAATACCAAAGGGTTTAAAGACAGTAATCTTTATTACCTTTTTTAAGAGTAACCAATTGAAATAATGTGAAGTAAACAGATGTGATTCATTTTGCAAAGCCCCTTTTCTCAAGTTTATTATTATTAATTAGTAATGACTGCTATAAATAGCTGGAAAGTACTGAAATGTTTTATAAAAAATAATGTAGGGGATATCATCACTACCTGTTTTCCATCATACTTTTGTACTGTGTAATACATGTAATAATGCGTTCTGTGTGTTATTAAAATGTTTTTTAAAAGTCTTAAATTTCCTGCAGAAACCCTGACTCTGACTTTCTTTATTTAGGTACACCATCAAAGGGATCCAGAACCTGCTATTTTATGGATTGCCCTCATTCCCCCACTTCTACAGCGAGGTGTGTAACATGCTGGCAGCGGGAGGTCAGGGGGAGGCGGCCAGCTGGACCTGCACCGCCGTCTACTCCCGCTATGATGCCCACAAGTTAGCTGCCATCACCGGAGCCCAGCGAGCCGGGCAGATGCTGCACTCCAACAAGACTGTTCACCTCTTTGTTACAGGAGGGGAAGATAAAGCCTCCTGATGGCTGGACAGATAAAAAAGGGACCAATGCATGAAACCACAGTAGATATCCACTGTACATTCTTATAGTAGTACGACCTTGGATAAGTGTAACAAGAAAGCTGTTGAATGCAGGTCTGTGATAGTGGTTTTCATGTGACAGGTCACATTGCAGAGCACCTGGTTTGACATTAGAAATGTGTGCCACTTGAAAATAAGGATATGAATGCTTTCCATATTATTTGGACAGTGTTCCACTTGACTCTCACATGCACCAGGAACAAAACCTGTTTATTGGCTTTGTTTGATATGTCCAGAAACATGAAGCCACAAAATGCTGAGGTCATAAAATATTGTTTGTACATAAGTGATTACTAAGATGTTGTAGACATTTCACCAGATTCAGCATAAATATTTCATTATTTTGATTATCTTTCCTATTTTTGGAAAAGAGCTAATTTTTGTATACTGTACATACCTGTGCTGAAAGTGCTAAAATATTTTATGGCTGTCAGTATAGTAGTATACCCAATATACAATTGTTTCAAATGAGTCAAGGGTGTTTGCCTTTGTTTTTAGGAATTTTACCTCATTACCAGCCATGCTGTTGCAGCTGATAATGAGGTAGGTCTGTGAGCAGGTCAGTTATGCATGTAATGTCTGTGTGAGTGGATGCGAAACACAAACAAAGAACAATATGAGTTATTAGTTAGATAGTAAGAGAATCGTGCACTTCTGAGCTCAGCTTACTCACATGTACTGCATCTCTGACAAAAAAAAGATAAGGTACAAAGCTAAACAGGCTCCTATAAAAACACTCATAAGCTGACCACATAATTATTAACTCCAGGTTGCTGCAAGAGTGACTTTGGCCGTGTAATTACAGCGCTTTCTACATTAGTAAAGGTGTCAGCACACGCTGTAACTGCTGGGATTATGGACAGCAAGACACAGAAGCTCATCCTGAAGCGGGAAGTGGGACTGATGGGAGCAGTGTCCCTCATCGGAGGGACAATGATTGGATCTGGGATCTTCATGAGCCCACAGACAGTGCTCTACAACATCGGCAGCCCCGGGGCCAGCTTGGTGGTGTGGGCATGCTGCGGTGTGCTGGTGATACTGGCGTCTTTCTGCTACGCTGAGCTGGGCACTGTTATAAGAGAATCAGGGGGGGAGTACATCTACATCCTCAAGACTTCAGGTCCAGTCGTCGCCTTCATGTTAATCTTCAGCTCTGTGTTATTTGTGAGACCTGCTTCTATTGCTGGTATCGCGCTGAGTTTTGCTCAGTATGTCGTGGCTCCTTTCTACTTGGACTGCACCCCTCCAGTGCTGCTGGTGAAGTGTGTGGCTGCAGCTGCAATTATAGTGGTAGCCACTGTGAACTGCCTTAATGTTCGCTTTTCAATGTCAGTCCAGGTGTTTTTTATGGTGACCAAGGTTCTGACCCTGGCAGTCATTATAATAGGAGGCATGGTGGTGCTTATCAGAGGGCACACTGAAAACTTTGAAGACTCCTTTGAGAACACAAATGTAGGCATCAATCCAATTGGTATTGCTTTGTACCAGGGACTGTGGTCCTATGACGGCTGGAACAATCTGAATTCTGTGACCGAAGAGTTGAAACGTCCTGAGGTAAGTAAAGTATGGTGTTTCAGTGGAAAGTAGTTACTGCCCTAAAGGGAGTCATTGACTAAGACTAATAAGCGGTCCACATCCTACTGAACACCAATAGTAAGTAGTTACTCCCCAATGCTGTGCTTCAGTGTGAAAGGGTAATGCCAGCCTGACCTGCAGTGGGCTGTTAACCAATGTACATAATGAAGTATCCACTGTAAATGCTTGTTGAGGAGACAGTTGTGATCAAACTATCAAATCAAGAAAGTGACAAATAGATGAGGTAAGTGGGCATTATAGGGGCTGTATCATTCAATGCTGGCACCATGATAGAATCTGGGACCTTCATATCCCCCCAGTATGTGCAGTTTGCTATTGGCAGCCCGATGGGTAGCCTTGTTATGGTCTTGCTTGGGGGGCAATGCTATGCTGAACTGGGCACAGTCATTCCAGAGTCTGGAGCGGAGTATATCAACATTCTGTGGACAGCAGGGAAGTGGTGGCCTTCATATTTGTCTTCAGCTTCATCATTGTGTTGAGGCCTGTCAGTGCAGCAGGAGTTGCCCTGAGTTTTGCTGAATATGTCGTGACCCGCTTTTTACAACAGCTGCACTGCTCCACAACTGGTTGCAGGAGCTATCATTATGTTGACCGCAGTTAACTGTCTGAACGTCCGCTAGGCCACTGCCATCCAGGTGGTTTCCATGGTAGTCAAGAAGCTGGCACTGGCAGTGATCATATTGGGAGATGCTTTTCCAGGGACACACTGAGGGTAATTCCTTTGAGGGAACAAATGCTGGTGTCAGCTCCACTGACATTTTCTATCTGGGCGTGGGGTCCTCTGGGTGGAATACTTCACTTTCACAATGAAATGTCATGGTCAAGAGTTTCTTAATTTACTATATGCTTTACTTTAAATTATAAAGGGTGTGTGATCAACACATCTGAGATAGAAAGATAGTATATGTGCAATTAATTAGCAGTGCAGTCGCAGAGACTTCCACCTGTGGTTCAGTTTAAATGACAGAAGGTGCCACTGCAGTGAGATACAAGAATTATCATAATATGAAGTCATAAGAATCTTGCTTGAAAAAGAACTACAGTCATTTAAAAACGCGATGAATTGCAGTTAATTTTACATAACAACCATTTGTGCATTAAAACGGGTTACCACTGTCTCTTAATCAGTCAGTGTTTTGCCTTATTTCCTGGTCGAACTGGCCACAAATCAGCTGGTTCTCAGAACCCCTAAGAGCTCTCTGTAGGGCAGGACTTGCTGTCTCAGGCCCACAGAACTGTTCCATCTGTCTCCTCGGGGACTTAGTGTTGTTACATTCTATAATACTTTTATTAGTTCAATTAGTTTAATTATTACTTTATTAGTTTACTTTGTATTAGATCTGGAAATACCTCCTTAATCGTGGTGGAGGGGTTTGTGTGAAGGTGGGAGCTATGTTGCCGGCGGCAATAGCCCATAGAAGTGTCCCCAAATGTAAAATGGTCCTGGGCGAGGGGCAAGATTAAAAACAATTCCAAGCTCTCTGTGAACTGGCATCTTGGGGACAGAGCAACACCGGAGCAGAATAGGTAGACTGAGCTCCTATAATGGAATCTAGTCTTGGAGGGGAGCTTGTCAGCATGTTGAAATGCTATGTCATCTCTCTGGTGGGGAAAGAGCCGGGGAAAGTGCGGGAAATTGAACCTTACAAGGCGTGTGTTGATATACTCAGAGCTCCTGCTGAGCACCGCTGTGTTGGAGTTTTACCCAAGAATGAGAGGTCACTTCTCTTTAATTGTGTCTTGTGAAGAGGATGGCTCTCTGTGAGTTTCTGTGTGAAATCCTGGAGAGGGCGCCTTTAAGACACTTCATAGTTCTACTGGGGAATTAGACGCCAACATGGTCTTTGGCAGATAGACTTTAAAGGAGGAATTAAGACAAACTTCCTGCTTTATTTGGAACCCGAGTGGTGCTTTGTTTTTAAAATTCAGTTTTAGTCATCGAATACGAATGCTTTCCATCTTATTTGGACAGTGTTCCTCTTGGATGTGTGTTTCCAGATTCAGCATAAATATTTCATTATTTTGATTATCTTTCCTATTTTTGGAAAAGAGCTCATTTTTGTATACTGTACATACCTGTGCTGAAAGTGCTAAAATATTTTATGGCTGTTAGTATGGTAGTATACCCAATATACAATTGTTTCAAATGAGTCTCTGAAAAGTTCTCAGCTCCACCCCTCCACCCTCTGACCTGAAACAAAATAAAAAAGGAGCACAGCCAGCAAAGATATGGCCAATCCTGGGGCCAGCACATCATCCACTGTCCACCCTAAAAGAAAAAAAAGAGAAATGGTATAAAGCTAAACAGGCTCCTATAAAAACACTCATAAGCTGACCACATAATTATTAACTCCAGGTTGCTGCAAGAGTGACTGGCCGCGTAATTACAGCGCTTTCTACATTAGTAAAGGTGTCAGCACACGCTGTAACTGCTGGGATTATGGACAGCAAGACACAGAAGCTCATCCTGAAGCGGGAAGTGGGACTGATGGGAGCAGTGTCCCTCATCGGAGGGACAATGATTGGATCTGGGATCTTCATGAGCCCACAGACAGTGCTCTACAACATCGGCAGCCCCGGGGCCAGCTTGGTGGTGTGGGCATGCTGCGGTGTGCTGGTGATACTGGCGTCTTTCTGCTATGCTGAGCTGGGCACTGTTATAAGAGAATCAGGGGGGAGTACATCTACATCCTCAAGACTTCAGGTCCAGTCGTCGCCTTCATGTTAATCTTCAGCTCTGTGTTATTTGTGAGACCTGCTTCTATTGCTGGCATCGCGCTGGGTTTTGCTCAGTATGTCGTGGCTCCTTTCTACTTGGACTGCACCCCTCCAGTGCTGCTGGTGAAGTGTGTGGCTGCAGCTGCAATTATAGTGGTAGCCACTGTGAACTGCCTTAATGTTCGCTTTTCAATGTCAGTCCAGGTGTTTTTTATGGTGACCAAGGTTCTGACCCTGGCAGTCATTATAATAGGAGGCATGGTGGTGCTTATCAGAGGGCACACTGAAAACTTTGAAGACTCCTTTGAGAACACAAATGTAGGCATCAATCCAATTGGTATTGCTTTGTACCAGGGACTGTGGTCCTATGACGGCTGGAGCAATCTGAATAATGTGACCGAAGAGTTGAAACGTCCTGAGGTAAGTAAAGTATGGTGTTTCAGTGGAAAGTAGTTACTGCCCTAAAGGGAGTCATTGACTAAGACTAATAAGCGGTCCACATCCTACTGAACACCAATAGTAAGTAGTTACTCCCCAATGCTGTGCTTCAGTGTGAAAGGGTAATGCCAGCCTGACCTGCAGTGGGCTGTTAACCAATGTACATAATGAAGTATCCACTGTAAATGCTTGTTGAGGAGACAGTTGTGATCAAACTATCAAATCAAGAAAGTGACAAATAGATGAGGTAAGTGGGCATTATAGGGGCTGTATCATTCAATGCTGGCACCATGATAGAATCTGGGACCTTCATATCCCCCCAGTATGTGCAGTTTGCTATTGGCAGCCCGATGGGTAGCCTTGTTATGGTCTTGCTTGGGGGCAATGCTATGCTGAACTGGGCACAGTCATTCCAGAGTCTGGAGCGGAGTATATCAACATTCTGTGGACAGCAGGGAAGTGGTGGCCTTCATATTTGTCTTCAGCTTCATCATTGTGTTGAGGCCTGTCAGTGCAGCAGGAGTTGCCCTGAGTTTTGCTGAATATGTCGTGACCCGCTTTTTACAACAGCTGCACTGCTCCACAACTGGTTGCAGGAGCTATCATTATGTTGACCGCAGTTAACTGTCTGAACGTCCGCTAGGCCACTGCCATCCAGGTGGTTTCCATGGTAGTCAAGAAGCTGGCACTGGCAGTGATCATATTGGGAGATGCTTTTCCAGGGACACACTGAGGGTAATTCCTTTGAGGGAACAAATGCTGGTGTCAGCTCCACTGACATTTTCTATCTGGGCGTGGGGTCCTCTGGGTGGAATACTTCACTTTCACAATGAAATGTCATGGTCAAGAGTTTCTTAATTTACTATATGCTTTACTTTAAATTATAAAGGGTGTGTGATCAACACATCTGAGATAGAAAGATAGTATATGTGCAATTAATTAGCAGTGCAGTCGCAGAGACTTCCACCTGTGGTTCAGTTTAAATGACAGAAGGTGCCACTGCAGTGAGATACAAGAATTATCATAATATGAAGTCATAAGAATCTTGCTTGAAAAAGAACTACAGTCATTTAAAAACGCGATGAATTGCAGTTAATTTTACATAACAACCATTTGTGCATTAAAACGGGTTACCACTGTCTCTTAATCAGTCAGTGTTTTGCCTTATTTCCTGGTCGAACTGGCCACAAATCAGCTGGTTCTCAGAACCCCTAAGAGCTCTCTGTAGGGCAGGACTTGCTGTCTCAGGCCCACAGAACTGTTCCATCTGTCTCCTCGGGGACTTAGTGTTGTTACATTCTATAATACTTTTATTAGTTCAATTAGTTTAATTATTACTTTATTAGTTTACTTTGTATTAGATCTGGAAATACCTCCTTAATCGTGGTGGAGGGGTTTGTGTGAAGGTGGGAGCTATGTTGCCGGCGGCAATAGCCCATAGAAGTGTCCCCAAATGTAAAATGGTCCTGGGCGAGGGGCAAGATTAAAAACAATTCCAAGCTCTCTGTGAACTGGCATCTTGGGGACAGAGCAACACCGGAGCAGAATAGGTAGACTGAGCTCCTATAATGGAATCTAGTCTTGGAGGGGAGCTTGTCAGCATGTTGAAATGCTATGTCATCTCTCTGGTGGGGAAAGAGCCGGGGAAAGTGCGGGAAATTGAACCTTACAAGGCGTGTGTTGATATACTCAGAGCTCCTGCTGAGCACCGCTGTGTTGGAGTTTTACCCAAGAATGAGAGGTCACTTCTCTTTAATTGTGTCTTGTGAAGAGGATGGCTCTCTGTGAGTTTCTGTGTGAAATCCTGGAGAGGGCGCCTTTAAGATACTTCATAGTTCTACTGGGGAATTAGACGCCAACATGGTCTTTGGCAGATAGACTTTAAAGGAGGAATTAAGA